AAAAAAAAAAACACATAAGTGATATGATTAAACAAAACCCATAGGTGACATGATTAACATAAACTAATGGTGCAGCATGTTTATTAATTCAAACCAAGCAAATAAAAGTAAATGAAAAGATATTGTTGTTGTGATTAAAGCTGTAAAACTAGATGAGCCGCTTGTGAGTTCGAGTTTGAGCTAACTTTTTAAAGCTCGAGTTCGATTCATTAATATTGATAAACGATCCGAGCTCAAACTAAATTACTAACTTGTTAAGTTAACAAGCGAGTGCCAAAATTTTCTCTCCTCGAACTCAAACAAGAATCCCCAAATCAGACCAAACCCTCTGCAAATTTTGCAGTGCCTCCTCACCGTTGGGTGCCTCGCACCCCTGCGATGTCGCCCGACATCTGGCCGACTCCCCGCCAGGTTGCGCACTAAAAGAAAATAAAATAATAAAATAAAAATACTTTTAAATTTTAAATTTTTATTAAAAATATCATGTAAATATATAAAATATAAAGTGAAAGTAAACCTAATTAATGTTTGCGAACATTATCGAATGTTCACGAACGAACTCATGTTCGTTCGATTATTAAACGAGTTCAATTTTATATTCAAGTTCGGTTTGATTAACAAATGAATGAGCTTTTCTTGAATTCAGACGAGTTTTTATTCGCGAACGTTCGGTTTCTTAATAGCCCTGCTCTGGTTGTGACAACATTGGAGACACACTTTAGAGATAAAATAAAATATTAATGAAACAAAAAAAAAGAAAAAAAAAGGATAAAATAATAAAAAATACACTTACTCTTGGAAAATGTTATGGTCCCGTTATGGAACTATTCCGTCGGAATTTGTAATGTTAGATCATCATGTAACCGTCGGAGATAGTTGATCTAACGGTTAAAAACCCCGACTAGATGGTTCCGTAACGAAATCGTAACACCTTCCTTTTTTTGGTACAAGGACCTTCCGGTTTTCGGATCCACAGGGGAATCGACTAATCCGGAATCGAGCCGGGTAGTACCACAAGGGCGGCAAAGCTCTCCCTCAAGAGTTTTTAACACTGCTGTATTCTCAGGGCTCGAACACGAGACCACTAATTAAGCTAGAAGAGACTCAAGTCATCTCATCCAAGCGGTCTTTCGTTTAACACCTCCCTTTTAACCATCATATCCTCGTGGCCCACCAACCGAATTGCACATCCTACACTAATTGCACCTTTTGCCACCACCATACTCACTCATTCATAAGAACATAACACAGCCACATTTACATTTTTTTATACTTCCACTATATGTACCTTTCTGAAAAAAAAAAAAATTAACTCCTGAATTCAAAAAGGAGCTGTTTGAAGTTCGAATTCGATCCACATTATTTGCTCTGCCTTTTTTCATTTTTTAAATTTTTATCCCTTTTTTTTATCAGTTGCAAATCTCGTGGCCAAAAAATCCAAGCTTTTGAACTATGAACTCAGCTAAATAAAAAACCCCTCTTTTTTTTTTTTTTTTTTGGCTAAAATATACAAACAATGAGAAATTTCACTAAGCCCTTTTTGTCTCAGCTTACTTTCCATTTTCCGAGGAGCAAGAAATCCTTCTACGCTCTGCTTTCCGTCTTCTCCATTTGTCTGCTGGCTTACAACAGCGCCAGCATATTCTCCACGCGGGTCCCTTTCCCAGCCAAAATCCCGCCGGAGCCAGCCATCTTCTCCTCCGCAATCGTCGCCGGAAAATCAAGAAAGTTCTTCTCTCTACCCTCCTCGGCGAAGCTCTCGTCGTCCTCCGCCCTGTACTCGGTCAGGGACGAAGCCCCGGCCGCAAAATCGGCGGCCCATATGCATAAAAATCGAAACTTGGTGGTCCCCACAAGCGGAGCACAAAAGGGGCAGAAGGGTTTCGAATCTAGAGTGAGGGATTTTTTCGCCGGCGGCGGCGGCTGCAAGCTGAGGTTTTTCATGACTTGGATTTCATCTTCCTCAGATTCCTTCGGGGAAAGAGAACTTTTTGCCGTGACCAGCTTGTTCAAAGCCCACCCGAATATGTGTTGTTGTCTGATCATCGCCTCGAACTCGCTGGATTCGGACAATGGCACTCGAATCTTGAGACCCCTTTTGGACAAGGGTTTCAAAGTCGCCGCCTTTTCGCCTGATTTCGATTACCTGTTCAAGGGTACGCCTGCTGGGGAATGGTACAACCAGTTAATGCGTGGGAATGTGAATCCCGGCGAGGTCCCCTTAGGCCAGAACCTTTCCAACTTGCTCAGGTTGGGTTTGCTGTACAAATTCGGCGGGATATATTTAGACACGGATGTCATCGTCTTGAAAAGCCTCGATGGATTGAAAAACGCGATCGGAGCCCAAACGGTCGATCGGGCCACGAAAATTTGGAGCCGGTTGAATAATGCCGTGATGATCTTCGATCGTGGCCATCCTTTGCTGTACAAATTCATCCAAGAATTCGCGCTGACATTCGACGGGAATAAATGGGGTCACAACGGGCCTTACATGGTGTCGAGGGTCGTGTCGAGGGTGGCCGGGCGACCAGGGTACAGATTTACCATAATGCCCCCCACAGCGTTTTACCCGGTCGACTGGAGTAAAATCGGGAGCCTGTTTGAAGGGCCCAAGGGCTCGAGCCACTCGAAATGGATTGTCGCGAAATCGAGGCAGATTATGAGCAAGAGTTTGGGTGTTCATCTGTGGAATAAGCAGAGTAGAGGGTTTGAGGTCCAAAATGGCAGCATTATTCAGCACATAATGTTGAGCTCTGGGTACAATTTTTCTACAGAGGTTTGAAAGGATTGCAAGAATTCTCATTGCATTTTTTTTTTTTTTTTNTTTTTTTTTTTTGGTCTTTCCATAGAAGGTATATAATGTGTTGTGTTGATTTGGACTAGCTCAGTCCACAATAGAATGATAGAATTTTAGGAAAAGACTTCAGTTCCGTCACAAAATGGTCCCGTGAGGGATTCTAGCCTTTAGATATTTATGAAAGTTAGTTATTATAGATAATCTATGGCTAGAATCCCTCGCGGAACCATTCCGTGACGGGAGTGCAGTCTTTCCCAGAATTTTGAAGGCTTTAATCCTATCTTAATGTTTTAAGTGTAACAAAATTATTTGGGAAAAATGATACACATATTCCATGAATAAGAATGAGAACAGGCCTTAAATTAACATGAGACAACCAACTACCAAGAATTGGCATTTATATGTGAATTAAGCAAGAAATCCTTTATGAGCCATCTCTTTCACTGCAATGTGGTCTATAGTTCCTCCATGTTCCATAAGCTATTTCATTTTCATGACAATTATTTTAGAGTAAAAAAAATTAAAACAAACAAAAAAAAAAAAGAATTATTGTACATTTGTACTAAAAACATATCATAATGAACTAATTTTAATTATATGACAAATTACTGAATGAAAGGTTTATTAAATTTAATTTGCTAGTTAATAATTAAAAATATATATTAATCATGTCACGTACACATTTCCTATTATTTGTAATGAAAATGGCAAATAATGACCAACAGGGGTTGACTCAAGTGGTAAGCAGCTTGATGTTGCTTAAACAAGGTTTCGGGTTCGAGTTCTTGTGGATGCAGAAAACCCTTGTTGGGAGACTTACCTACTACTGCCAGGTGTGCGACCCGAGTCGACTAACGAATTAATCGGGGCATAGCTTCGGATACCGTGACTGGGCTAGCAAAAAAAATGGCAATATAATGAATCAGTTTTAACGGATAATGAGTATAACAAATAGTATTTACTTAAATAGTCAAATTAGTGGACCATTTATAATATTTTAGTGGACTATATAGCTCCTAAAAAAATTGATTATGAGTAAAAAATAGCAGGTAAAGAAGAATATTATGTGATTTTGTCAACACAATGGTCTAAGTTTATACATACAAGTAACCAATAAAAATGCCCTAAACAAGTGCAATTACAATATGAATATGCACACCAATAGAATACATTCATGTGGTTATTTTTTTTTCCCCATAAATAGTGTTAATAAACAAATTGAACCGAGTCAAACTCGAGCCTACACAAACCGAGCAATACATAAAATCCCAATCAATCCTAATAAACCTTAATAATCAACTCATTACACAATGCATTAACAAAAACAAATTCAATCAAACATAAACTTAAAAAAAAAAAAAAAAAATCCCTTAGTCGCATTGCATAATAACCCTATTTGAGCTAAACTAGCTCGGATCATGAACTAAACAGGCTGTTAGACGAACCGAATCGAGCCAAACTCGAGTCTAAACAAACCAACAATCCATAAAATCCTAAAAAAAAAAATCCCTTCGTCTTCGACTAAATCGACTAAATCTCGGTTTCGGAACTAGAAGCATTAGACATCATATTCTTAAACTCCCCGAAATCTAAAACCCCATCCGAATTCTCGTCATACGTGCCAATCATGTCCTTACCGTCCTTTCCGGTTTTCGGGTCCCACAATCCTAATCTCGACAACACGCTCTCCAACTCCTCTGACGATATGTACCCGTCGCCGTTCAAATCGAAAACTTTAAACGCCTCGAAAAGCTCGTTTTCGTGCCGCCGTTCGGTTGTCTTGGATTTCGATGGCTCGGCCGTGGCGGCCTCGTAGAAGAACAAGAAGTCGACGAAATCGAGGGTTTTTCGGCCCGCGTAACTTTCGAGCTCCTCGGGGGTCGTGCGGGCCCCGACGTGGCCGAGAAGGCGGTGGAGTTCTTGAATGCTGACGTGGCCATTGTTGTTTTTGTCGAGGTTCTTGAAAATCCTGTGTAGATCACCCGAGCTGATTGGAGGCATGTAAGGGGATTTTTATTTTTATTTTTTGGATTTTTTAATCAAGAAAATAGAGAATGGAAAATAAAATTTAAAAATGTAAAAGAAAAAATGTTTGGAACTTTTTTGTGTTAGCAATTCATGGAGTTTGTAGCTTCATATGTGAAATGTATTGTATGTATATAAGTTGAGTTGTGTAACGGTCCAAGTCTAAGAAAATTAAGTCTTATTATTGGGGGTCCACTAATTAATTATATGGGAGGAGAAATTTAAATAATTTTTTTGGGGAAATTTCGTGGTAGCAGAAAAGTAGGAAAAAATACTAATGATATGGGGAAAAAAAATTAAATTAAAGGAGACAATTCAGGTAGTTTTGATTTGTATTAATTTTGTTATTAAATTTATTTAATTATATATATAATAGACAACCACAATTTCTTGAAAAAAATATGTATTCATATTATAAAATAACGTACTTATTTTTTATATTATATTTTAAATTATGTCATTTGATTATAAAATTATATTATTATTTGAATAACTTAACCGCTAGTTACAAAATAACATACTTATCAATTTTATTTGGGAAGATGCTACGGTTTCGTTATGGAATTATTTCGTCAGAGTTTGTAGCCTTTAGATCAACTATCTCTAACGGTTACAAGCTCTGACGGAATGATTCCGAAACGAGATCGTAGCATTTATTTCATCCATTTATTAATTAACTTGTTTGTTTATTTTTATTTATTTGACCCATAGAAAATTAACTAACTTAATTATTTTTTAGCAGCCAAATCTACAGGAATCTATTGAAGTCGAAATCTTCATGGAGCATATGAAACGATACAGTCAACGTTGACTTTATCCTCATGAATATCAGGTGAATATTCCAATTACAAAGACCTCGGTGTTTGGATTGAAGGATTCGTCATGAATATTGGAATCGGAACCATTACTGGAGCTGAATTATGGGGATTATTCCAGGGACTTCAGCTGGCTTGGGAGCTGGGCTACCGACAGGTTGTAGCTGAGGTTGACAGCCAGTGTGTGCTGAAGATGATAATGGGCGCACAAGCGAATTTTGGAGCCCATGAATCACTAGTCAGGGCTACTCGGAGCTTGCTCCATCGTGAATGGAGCATTCGGATCCAACATGTGCACAGAGAGGCTAACTTTGCAGCTGATCATATGACATCTCTTGCTATTTCTTTT